GAACTTTCTTTTTAGCTCTAGATTAGCATTGCCAGCTGCCAACCTGACATTGCCACTTGAGTGTCTTTAAAGGCTTCTCAAATTAAACGTGACCAAAACAGCACTTCTGACCTGTCTGTGCCGGGCTCCCTGTTTCAGTCTGCTCAGATTCCCATCGTCCTTATCGCAGTAACTGCTACCACTATCTTATCTGCTCAGCTGCGTAAGCCAGAAACCTGGGAGTCATTCTCGACACTTCACTCTGCTCTTACATCCTTCTCTTTCACTTCTCCATCACTAACCATTATCAAGCCTTGCTTTTAACTCCAAAATAGGTATCACATCCCTCCACTTCTCTGCCGTGGAGACACGTCAGCATCCGAGCTTAGTCGCCATCAGTTGTCACTGCGCTCTGCAGTGGATGCCTAACCCTCCCCCTTCTGGCGACTGTCCAGCTGATTTCCTGCAGGCTCTGTTTCTTTTGCTCTCACTGTTTCTGCTTCTCACGGTTTCTCCTTTTTTCATTGTTTCCCCTGGTTCTTTTTCCCGCCTCTATGCACCCCTCCTTCTGTTTCCTCCCCGCTTTCTGTTAAACCCGTCACTGTTTCGCTGCCATGCTGCTCTCCCCCTCAGAGAGCTCTTTTATTATAAAACTGTGAAGTAGATTATGTTTCTCCCTTGCTTAGAGCTCTTCCTTGGCTTCCCGCTGCACGTAGAATGAAACCTAATTTCCTCAGCATGGCCTGTGTGATAGGGCTACTGCCTAACGTCTCAGCCCTGCCCTAAGCCACATGTTCTCCATGCTTCAGCCATACTGGCTTCTTTCAGGTCTTGGAATTGCGCCAAACTCTTTCTGTACAAAAATTTATGCTCTGTGCATAAAACTCTTCTTCCTCGCTCTCCCTGGCTTATTCCTACCATGCTTCAAATTCATGTTTGTCCTCCAGCAAAACCGTTTTTCACCACTTCATCAAGTCTCACGTAGGCCCCTGATGTTCCTCTTTCTGTTCTTTCCTTCAGAACAACTGTGACTGAATATTGTGTGTTCCATGTGTGTATTCCCCACATACACAGACTAGCTCCATATGGATAGCCATATGTCTGTCAGGTACATCACTGTGTCTGCTGCTCATGTGCCTACTTTAGTAAAGGGTGTGAGTAAATGCTTGTTGAATAAATGAATGAGTCCCGTCCCCCCCCCCCCCCCCCCCGACAAAGCAGGTAGCCCAAACAGTGACACAGCCACAGAAATGAGCAAAACTGATAGGACAGTGAGGAGACAGGTTGAATGGGACAGAGCGCCTATGTTGGATAAACTCCCGGAAACTCCTGTTCTAGCAAGAGAACTGTACGTCACAAATTCACATCGCAGCATCCTCCCAGTTAGTATGTGGGCATTTTAAAGCTTTTACTTTCATTGGTAACCGTATTTATTTTTATGATAGTAAAACAAGCTTTCCAAATTACATTTAATGTTTTCTGAGTATTATTGGCCTTGTTTTCTTATCTCTTTTTAAACATCTCTTTTTAAATGATAATAAATGAACTATCATTATGTCTCATAGTATTGATCACAACAACTCACTTGTCAAGTGCCAGCTATGTGTCAGGAACTTTATTTGTATCATCTTATTTAGCCTTTACAATGACCATAACGCGGGAGGTGGTGGTATCTCATTTTGCAAATGAGAATACTGAGGCTCAGAGAAGTGAACCATCCCAAGGTCCTATAGCTAGCTAATACATGCAGGAGCTGCTGCTTTCTATCACTGCAGCGGTGTCTTTATGGTGAGTTATTTTAGTACATATAAAAATAGGAATTATGTTTAGTATGGATATAGCATTTCGATTTTTATCTGTTAGCAGGAAATATTTTACTGAACAATTTAAAGCTTAGAAAGTTGTTTTTCTTCCTGAACAAATCAGAGAGGATATCTTCTTCAACTATTTTTCTAAACGAAGCTTAGTAAAAACCGAAATGTGTTTTGACATACAGAAAGGCGTATAGACTAGTATAACACCGGTGTTCTCACCACTTCCCTTGAAATCAGATCTTACTAGTACAGTTGAAAGGCCTCTGTCCATCCCTCCCCAGTCTCGCCTTCCTCCCTCTTAGCAGTAACCACTCTCCCAGCTTTGGCGTTTATCGTGTACCGGCTGAGTGCTGAACGTATATGTGTTGCAGTGGCCGTTGATGTTACTATTTTTCAGAAGAAACTTACCTTATTTCTTAGCTTTTTTTGCCATTCTTTTCTAAATTGACCCTCGATTTGTACCAGGACCGAGCCATGCCACCATCTGCCTTCCCCACCATATCCTGTAATGTGGGCGAGGAATAAAAATGTGCTCAGCTTCAGAGTCTGCAGCTGTGGGACAAAGGATCAGTTCAACAGGTTGGCCTTTTTTCCCCTGTCACGATCTGAAGTCACATGGGCGTGAAGAGCCTTACCAAAAATAACCCTGAGGACCTCGTGACTAAAACTTTTTAAGATGAGTGGGTTAGGCCCGAATCAGGTGGATGAGCACATTGTGTTGCTAACATTTCCGCCAGGTTTGAAAATTAAGTGGAGCAGTCTTCACTCGCGATCTCTGCAGAAGCTCCTCGTCTTGTGCAAGATTCCCAGCAGGTCAGAGTATAGTTTGCCCTTGGTCACATGAGAGGTCTTTTTTTCCCCTACATCTAAGGAAAAAGACTTCCTCAAGTTGGCAAAGGCTTGAAGTAGACTTCTCCAAAAAGAGGACAAAAATAGAAACAAAATAAAGCCAATAAGTTTCTAATTAAGATGTAGCTTCAAAAAGGAAATGTTGCTGATTCAGTATAATTGGTTTATCAGGGGAAAAATCGAGACAGTCTTTCAGGGAAAGATAGGAAAGAGGAAAATAGGTAATAACAATGAGTGAGACGCAATCAAGAATTGAGAATTGGGATGAAGATTGAGGACTGGGGCTAACTATAGAAAAGATGCTACTTTGGGTATTAAATGCCTGAGACACAAAAATGGTTTAGAAAGAGAATAGTGAATGACTAGAAACTATCAATAACTGGCTCTTAGTATTTGGGACCCAGTGAGTGCTGATGGATGAATTGATGATTCACTGATACAATCTCATCAGTTTATAAAAGTTTTCCTGTCAAACTATATATTTGTGTACATGATAGGTTTTCACATATGAAGTTATAACTTACCTGAGTACTTACCTGAGTATTTTATTAAAGAATTTATTTTTAATGGTAATCCAGATGGGTTCTATTTTTGTTGTCTTAAAAACAGTTCTTTCAATTGCAAAAGAAGAAATGATTCAAGAAATATATATGAAAAAGAATTTTCTGCTGAAGTTCAAGTGACTGGAGGTTGTACACAAATTCTTCATTTCTTTCATAAAACTAATTTTGTTGACTTCTCCACAAAAAGTGCAACTGCTAAACATTCTTGTGATAGCTTCTTTGTGAAAGTGTCACTGTTCTTGATTTGCACACGCCTTATAATTTCAGCTTTCTTTTGTTTGGGGTTGGCAGTTCCAACTGTTCCGGCTCTTGTCTGATTATGTGGGACTTCTTATTTTAATGGGAGCAGCTTCTTTGCTGCATTTTTAAAAAATGGTCTCGGAAGCGTCTTACTGTGGATCTTTGTTGGGGACAAAGGATTATTTATGCTAAAGGAAAATGTATTCCCCACTGACTTAGCTCGTGGGAAGCATAACAAGCTCATTAGTAATGCTCAATTGTACTTTGGCCTTTCGCTATGGCAGAGCGAGGAAAAATGACATCAAAAAGGACACTCTGCTGTCCTTCGCTTTCCCGCAAAGAAAATGTGATGTAATATTGGATTTTTCAGTTAGGTTTAGCTTCAAGTTCAGCTTTGGTACCAGAAGAAATGTTCCTGGAAGGAAGGCAGTATGAGTAGGTGGCAGTGTGCATGAGGTACGTCTGGTATAACTTAGAGGAGAAAGTAACTTTTGGAAACTGGTAGCATTTTAGCCTTATAAATGGTTTTATTTTTTTTTCTTAGCATCTCCTAATGGCAGTTTACAATAAAAAATAACTACTGTATTATGCTGCTATAAGCAATGAAAAATCCTAGGTTTTATATATGCTAATTATTCTGAGTGTTTTTAAACTCTTCACTTTTTTTCCTCCGAAAATACATTAAAGAATTATATTAACCTAACTTAATTACAGCTGTGTTGTTGTTTTCCTTGTAGATTTCAAGAATAATACTTGGAGCTAAATTCTGCTGTTTCTTTTGTTTTTTTGTCTTTAGCACCTCATGGAGAAAATCAGTTATGAAAAATTATTATAGAAAGACGTTGAGTGTGTTTCACAGTTAAAATGGATGTTTAGTTTGTTACTGTGTCACCTGGCAAAAGAAGCTTATGGTTAAGCATGTGAATTTATACAAAGTCCAGATGAACTTTATGTTCTCCATGTAAAGATCAGATGAGAGATGCTTCACTTTGAGTATCAGTTGTTGTGACATTTGTATTTATATTATATTTACATTATGTTTATAGGGGAAATTTCTGGGAGACTTATGTGGCTAAGTTTTACTGCTAATTTTACTAGTCAAATGCTTCAAGAATTCCTTTGAAGACAGATGTTTCAAGAATTGGCTTGCTTGAAATCATACAATTAGTGAAAGATCCCACCAGCATTTTCACTTTTGGTAGATTACTAAAGGAAAGAGAGAGAGAGAGAGAGAGAGAGAGGAGAAGAGACGAGACATCATGTTCCTTCTATTGTATCACTTCTCTATTCTAGGGGGAAAAAAATTATTTTGATACCAGTGCCAAAAACTACATATTAAAATGTGTTTCAGGTTTTCCTGTCACAAATGAGGAGTATTTTTATGAAGTAAGAAGCTGGAGTGATTACTGAATTCTCTTATAGTCAAATTATTCCAACTAGAAGAAAAAGTTTCCTGTGTTCAAATAGAGTAAAGCAGAATCCTTATAATTTGAGGCTTTGGAAGAATAAGAAAGCTGCCATTATCTGCATATTAATGTTTTGTTCTATTTTTCAGAAAAGCAATTTCATTTCCATATTGATGACCATGCAGCCTGCAATTCAAGTAAGTGTTTTTTCTTGGAGAAAATATTTTTAAATTGTGAGATTAATATAATAAAATTGTAATAATTACTAAAATACTAAAATTATCAAAGTGTGTTTATTGTACTAGTTTTATTTCATTTTTTTAAATTTTTATTAAATTTATTGGTGTGACATTGGTTAGTAAAAGTAAAATTATATGGGTTTCAAGTGTACATTTCTATGTACTACTTTTTTTAAGAATCAAATTTTCATAACAGGAGTACTATATTTTTATTTTCTATTTCTGAAAATATTTTAATTTTAGACTTACGTTGAATATTTGTAGGAATCAAAAATACCATATTGGATATTTGTAAGGATGAAAAATACCCTAGCATTGGTGGGTCCATCTTATTTATATTACTCTGGGGAAAGAATTGGAATATTTTGTAGTTTTCCTCATTATAATTTAGTATATATTTGTAGTTAAAAAACTTTCCGTGAAAACAAATATAAATTTTTTATTTTAGGTCATTGTACATATACCCTATAATGCTTGTAAAGAAACAATTATTAAAATTTAAAGAGTGTTTTTTTTCTTTTTCTGTTGCTTTGTTTTTTGGTGGGGGGAGGCAAGCTGGGAATGAGACAACCAGAATAACTGTACATGCGAGTGACTTCCAGATGGTACAGTCTTCGCTAGGTTATTCTTCTATTCTTTCAAGTTTTCTTTCTTTGCTATAAATAGAACACGGTTGAATATTAACTTAAAGATAAAAATCACATTGAACATCTACCTAGAAAGAAAGATGAAAGCAGCTGATGATATAATGTGTCTTGGAAACTGAAAACTTTAGATTCCATCAGATTGCATTTCTGATCTAGCTCTGCTGGTCTGATTGGGTGATTCTGGAGTTATTTTACTTCTCTGAATCTCTGTTTCCATACTACTAAGGTGAGGGTCAGGACGCTTATATGGCAGGATAGTTGTGAGGACTCAATGAGGTAATATACACTAAGTGCCTACTAGAATGTATATTGCATAGTAGGCACTTCAGAAGTTTGGTTGTATCATTTATATAACAAAACTATCCAGTTGTAAAACTGGAGATTATACCTCTGTCATGCAAGTCTGTCTGTCTGTCTGTCTCTCTCTCTCTCTAAAAATGGTTTAGGAAGCTAACAGCGGGTGATAGCTGAGAGAAGAGAATTTATCAATGGTTAAGAACAATCAATGTGATCATGCGTGTACTCCTTCCTATGCTGTACAGCTATATCGTTGTACTCTGCTAATAAAGAGCCCTATTATTTTGTTTCCCTTCTGGGACTTGGGAGTCCATGGCAGCCTCCCAGAAGGTCTTATTTCTCCCCTTTGGGTCTTCTCAAGTCCATATTGAGTATACTGAGCATACTTTCTTATTACTCAAAGCCATTTATTGTCTGATTATTTCTTTGTATTCTCTTTTAACCAAGTCTCAGAAATGTCATCAGTTTTGTGTTGATTAAATTTTCTTGATTTCTTACAGAGTGCTTTTTATCATTGCCACGTTGACCATGTTATTCTCATTTCTACATTAATGGTCATTAATATTTTCTTAACTTGGTGATTATTTTCATAATTTTGTTTATAGTTCCATGAAACCTTCTCTAATCTAGATTCCACAGATCTGTCTTTATTGATTCTTCTCCAAGAGCACCCTTGGCATCTGCCATGGAAGTTTGTCATCTCTGCCTGATGACTGTGAGAACTTTCCAGAATTTTTACCTGTTTCTCTGCTAACTATATTAGACAGTTATCTAGTTATTCATAAGTACCTCACAGAGAGGAGACATCCAGTAAATAGGTGTTATCAATTGGTTTCTCATTTATTTATTAAGATTTTACTTGGCTTTTTGTTTATGTCTTTTGTTCTGACTAGTATATAAACGTACAGTCTAAAAACCAATGAACAATAGTTCCTAACCTATTTTGGGTCGTAGTACCCTTTTGAAAATCTGACAAAAGCTATGAACTGTCTCTGAGAAAAGGGCCATTTGGACACAGACATAAGATCTTGCCTAAATATATACAAGTTTATTTACCTGCTCAGGTTCCTATATAGACTGCCTGTAGATTAAGAATTTCTGCAGTATGACAGCTTTCAGCATGTTTCAGAACAACTGTTATACATGTATTTTTTATTACTAACATCTAACTTTTAACATTGGTATGCTACTGACTAGCCCAGGTTATTATAGAGTCTTCTTTTTCCAATAGTGGGAAAATCTAAATACTCTTCCCCCTAATGTGGCAAGAATTTAGAATGACCTTTGATAACGTTACCATCTTCATTTTCACACTTAATTGTTTCAAAACCACCCTCCTAACTAAGGTACATCTTTCCTTGACAAACATTGGCATTTGCTCTGCCTTTTTCCAGCTCTGCCAAATGGTTGAACAACAACATATTCCATTGACTGTAAGACACTGTTGATTGTAAGATGCATCTTGATTTTGGTCCAGAGTCATTTGCTGATGTCTGTTCCTCAGTTACACCAACAAGTATTTGTGACCAAATGCCATGTGCTAGGTGTTACACTGCGTTCTGGGATTACAAGCAGAAATGCAACATGCTTGTGAAGGGAAGGAAGGCTTAGATAGGAAGTCTTAGCTACACTCCCTTTGAAACATTTTAAGAGAATTCAGGAAAATAAGTAAATCTTGTCTTTTTCCTAAAACTTGACAGGATCCTTGTATATTTAGGAGCTCACTCCCCAATCTCTATCTTTTTTTGTTGTTGTTAAGATTTTACTGGAGAATTGGGGGATGGGAACCGTGCTGGGGAATTGGGGGAAGGGGAACAGACAAGTTGCTGTTGTTTTGTTCTTCAGCCTAGTTGTGGAGGACGTTGCTTCACTGGCCCAAGTTGGCAC